GCGCCGTCCTCCCCTCAGCGTTCCCGCCGCGAGCGAGCGCGCGCCCCTCCCTCCGCGCGCGACGGCCGCTCCGCCTCAGGTGCCGCGCGGCGCCGGGCGCCGCAGAGCCACCCCGCCTCGTCCCGCGCCGCGACCGCCTCGAGCCGGGGATCGCGCGGGCAGCTCCTCCAGGTGGGCCGGCCGGCACCTGCGGACGGACGAACGGCAGGCCGGCCTCGGGGCGGGAGGGACGAGGGACCCGCAGCCCGCCTCCCTCCGGAGGAGCGGCCGCCGGCTCTCCGCCTCCTCGCCCCGCCGGTACCTGCCTTCCCTCCTCCCGCCCCCCTCATGCATATGGATGAGCGCATGCGCGCGCGGGCGGCCTCCCCGCCTGCCGCCGTGGGCTAGATGAAGGCGAGCGGCGGCGGCGCTGCCAGACGGGCGGCGGGCGGTGCGTGCGCTGCATGTGCGTGCGTGTGTGTATGTGTGCGTGGTGTGCGTGTGTGCGTGTGTCCCGGGGGGCGCCTCCGCCGCGCGCTGCCCGGCGACCTGAAAGCAATAAAAGGATCGGGATAATAATCGCGATAATAAAATAAAAGGGAAAAGAAAAGGCGGACCGCAAAAAGAAAGGAGGAAAAAAAAAAAAAAAAAAAAAAAAAGAGGGAGGCGAGAGAATAAGGAGAATAAAAGGAGGCCGGGCTGCTTTGCATTGAAGACTGGGGCGCTATTGAAAGCGCCTGAAAAGCGGCGTTGTTCGGCGCGGGCGCGGCGCGGTATATAGAGAGCGGGGCGGCGGCGGCGGCGGCAGCGGCGTCTCCTCCTCCTCCTGCTCCTCCTGCTCCCTTCGGCCCTCCCCGGCGCGTCCCGGAGCGAGCGGCGGCGGCGGCCTGCAGGCGGGCAGCGCGGCGGCGGCATGCGTGCGGCCCGGCGGGCGGCGGCGCGCTCCCTCGTCCTCCTCCTGGCCCTGCTGGGGCTGCGGGCTCAGGTACGTGCGGGGCGCGGGAGCGGCTCCCGCGGCGGCGGCTGGACGGGGTCCCGGGAGCCGCGCAGGCTGCGTGCCGCGGGGCGGCTCGGCGGGAGCGCGGGCGGCGGTGCCGGCTGTCCTGCGGGGAGGGCGGCGGTCCGTGCGGTGCGGCGAGGCGAGGCTCCCCGAGGATCGAAGTGCCATTAGCGCGCATCGCTTATTTTCGCGATTACCTCTCCCCTCCTCCCCCCCCTCCCTCTTTTTAAAATTTATTTTATATATGCTTCTGTGTGTGGATTTCTGTATTCTTGGTTTTTTCTTTTTTTACGTCGTTGCCGAGCGCGGTGCCGGCGGGCAGTGCGGGGCTGCCCGTCCCGTGCCGTCCGCCGCCCCTCCGAGCTGCAGCGGCTGCGCTGCTGCCGGCGCCGCGCTCGCGCTTTGCTTCCGTTCCGTTCCTGGGGAGCCTCGCAGAAGCCTTTTAGACTCGGGGCTTCGGGTTCTTTTTCAGCATCCGTGCTGCTGGGATGATTTATGAGCCTTTCTCGTGGGTGTTTGCTAGGAAAAAGCTTGAAGCGATTGCTTTTTCTTTTTTTCTTAATGCTATGTGCGTGCTTCTCAAAAGCAAGCTGGTTTAAGATGACTTTCCTCTGCCTGCAGAGCTGCCGTAGGTTGTGTTTGGGGTGAAAGGTGAGGTAACCGTGTTTTTCGTTTCTTGTTTTTTTTTTTTTTTTGCTTTTTCCTGCGGCTCTTTCTCGGGACGAGCAGGTGGTGTCAGCGTCGGGACAGTTCGAGCTGGAGATCTTATCCGTGCAGAATGTGAACGGCGTGCTGCAGAATGGGAACTGCTGCGACGGCACTCGAAACCCCGGAGATAAAAAGTGCACCAGAGACGAGTGTGACACCTACTTTAAAGTTTGCCTGAAGGAGTACCAATCGCGGGTCACTGCTGGCGGCCCTTGCAGCTTCGGATCCAAATCCACCCCTGTCATCGGCGGGAATACCTTCAATTTAAAGTACAGCCGGAATAACGAAAAGAACCGGATTGTTATCCCTTTCAGCTTCGCCTGGCCGGTGAGTGCACTGCTCGCTCTGCACTGCCGGATGGTGCTGTTCGAGCTCGGCTCGCTACGGCCGTCTCCAGCTTCTGGTGCGGGGACGGAGGCGCTGGGCTGGGGAGGGAGCGGGCGCCTTGGCAGGGGAGCCGGCGCTCCGCCGGGCAGAAACGAGCGAAATGCGGTGATGTTTTTGTTTGTGTTCCCTGGGGCTCACAATGCGCAGCCTGTTCAATTTGAAAGTCAGATGTGCAGCGAGGGGGATCTAAATGGGTCAGGGAAGCAAACCCAGTATCTCTGCACTTTACAGCATGAATAAGCCTCTTGAGAATTAGAAGGTCAGAAGTTCATTTATTTTTATTTTTATTTTTTTTCCAAAGCAGTGAAGCCTTGGGCTTAAGCCAAAGGAGCGGTGGGTTAGGGGCTGTGGAGGGATCCCGTGTGAAAAGTGTGTGTCATAGCTGGCCTCTTTCCCTGGAGCGTGTTTGGGAAGGCTTCCTGCTTCCCCCAGGGGGAAATCTCACTGTGCTGCTTGGTGTTGATGGGAGCTGCTGTTGCTGCTCTGGGTGAGCTGGTTGCCAGCTTCCCTAAGAAGCTTGCTGTGTTTTGAGGTATGTGCAGACTCTGGAGCCTAAGACAGAAAAACCTGGCCATAGCTTTGGTCCATCTCAGCCTCTCCTACCCACAGTGCACCTTTTCTGGCACATTGGCTCCGTGTTCCATAGATTCTGGCTTCCCAGTTTGCAAAACTTTGTGGGGCCCTCTGCCAGGCACTTTCCCACTGTTGTCCCTTGCAGTAAACAGCGGTCAGCCCTGTGGGAAACTAGTGAGGATGACCTCTTCATTAGTTGAAATCTGCCTCATTGGTGGTCACATGCAGAATTCTGGCTTGCCCTTCAGAGTTTCTTGTTGCTTCTGGAGAGCTCAAGGGGAGTGAAGCCTTAGCCCTGCAGAGGAGTCCTGTACTTGTTGCACAGGCCCTAAGGACCATCCTTCCAAAACATCCATCGCATGGGACAGTGTCCCATTCATGCAGTAGGGTTTGGGGGTATGTAAGACTGCTGCTGCCATGGCCCTCAGTGCCAGGAGATGCACAGCTTTGTGCCCAGCGGTGTTGCCAACACAAGCAAAAACTGAAGATGACCAATGTGGGGGGCTTTTGTGCACACATGGCAGTCTGCCTTTTGGGGTTGCTCTCTCAGACGCTATGGTATATTAGCTGAAAAATTATGTTCCTAAAACTTGTATTTAAAGATCACCTAGGAAACGAAACTGTTTTTCCCCCTCCCCTTCTCCAAAGGTGCTGAGCACACACTTTCCCAGTGGCTGCCTTGGGATATGTTGATGCTCAGCAGTTTTGAATATCCAGTCATCCTAACCTAAATGCCTACGGTCATTTTTGCGAGGGGTGGAGGGCCCTTGCATGCAAACAGGGGAGGAGTAAATCTTGTTTCCTATCCTATGTCACTGCACCACTGCTGGAGAGGTGGAAGCATTTGGAGATTTTCAGCACTCTTCAGAGCTTGGCCCTTCCTAGTCAGATAAGGCCTGGTTACTGTGAGGGTGTGGACTTTTTCTGGGGGGGAAAGCCCACCCCGAAAACATTCCTCCCTCCAGTTGTAGTGCAGACACCCACTTTGTTAGTCCTGTGGCCAAGTGCTGTAGGCAGCTGTGTGTTCTTGGAGCGTCCTGTGCTGCCTCCTACCTGCCTTCTCTGTCAGTTGTGACTTCTGCAGCAGCAGGGTGAAATCAAGCCTGCGTTTTTATGGAGATAATATTACAAAGTACAATAGCGGCGTTAACAAAAGTATTCTCTGTTGGGAGCACAAGTCCTCTCTTTCTTCCTCTTTTTTTTTTTTTTTTTTTTCCCCCCCTAACATGAATGAGATAAAACTGTTATCAAATATGCCATCAAAGGGATAAAGGGTTTTGTAAAAATCTGAGGTATTTGAAGCTCTGCCAGTGGCTGTAATGCTTGTACTGCAGGGCTTTTTTGGTTGTTTTTTATTTTTTTCTTCAGAAAAGTGAGGGTCATCTCCCCCTTGAGCCGCTGTGCTCCCAGTCATTTAAATGTCTCAGATCTGAAGATAAGTGTATACAGAAAAGATGTGAAAATTGAATATTCCCCTTCTAATGCTTTTCTCTCCTTAGGATCACTAGGAAGGGAAATCTTCAGTGTAGTAAGGAGGACTTGGGGGTTCTGGAGACCACGGAAGAAGTTTCTTGTCTGCTTTCTTTAGTGAAAGAAATTTCTGTTGTCCTGCTGAATGTAACTCAGTACTGGAATCATAGAGCAGCAGTGAAACTCCAGTGCAGCCTGCAAAATGTGTAAAGCTTGTCAACTTCTGACAACTCTGTTTCCCACAACTGGATATTTTTTGAATAAATGCTTGCATTTTTTTTCCATGCAAAAATAGCATTTTTGAGATAGTGATGACTGTTCTCAATTACCAAGCCTGCATCCCAGCTTTAACTTCACAGGTCACGGCTTTTTGGTTAGCCATTGTGACTTCTGAATAGCACTGGAACAAAAGAATATCTAATGTGACAAAGCACTTGTTTGTACTGAAATTGTGTACAGAAATCATTTTTAAGTAGTTCTGAAAGCTCTAAAGATAAACTAGTAAACTTAATGAGCCAACTCAAATCTGATGCTGAAATTTCAGCACTTAAAACCATTTCTTTAGATGGGTAAACACTGTTGATTAATCAAAGCATGAGACCAGCTTTAGATTTACAAATGTGGCTAATCATGAGACCTTACCATTCATTTTCAATTGGGTATATTCAAAGAAACCAGAGCTAAGCTGGAATGTTAGTTGTATTGTACTTGAAAATTCATGCTCATCTCTGTATATGTGTTGTTGTGTTCCGTTGTCCAGCAGAGGTTTTTCTGGGATGTTACAGCTTGAATCAGTAACATTCAGAACTCTTGTTGCCTTCATGACTTTAAAAAAGCAACAAGAAAATGAGCGTGTGTGTGCGGGGGGGG